CGTTAACGCGAAATGGAAATATACATGTCAACCGGGAGGGAAAAAGTCGTATTATTCGCTCACGTAAACACTCGCGGCACAGCGCATTTTAGAAAAGTAGGTATACACGCTTGCACGTGAATAACACCAATGGTGTACGAACCTCGGTCGTATAAGTTTTATACTGCTCGGTTATTGTAAGTGTATGTACAGGTATACTGGTTAGGTAGAATCCACGGATTCGCGTTTATTTATTCCAGTTTTTTTTTTTTTTTACGACACAAATTCCCGATGATCGCCACAGCTAGTGTACTACTGCATAGATGCGTTTATAATATAAACATTAAACCTATATGTTTTTTTCTCTTTTTCGATTTAAAAACGGTTGTCATGTTTATTACAAGAATAAAAAAAAAACCACGGGCGCGAAAACAAGACGGCGATAATAATCATCGTATTACGAATGCATTATATATTTATTGTAATTTTTAATATTTTACGTCCATATAAAATAACAGTTAAAAATATCATATCCAGAAATCGTTAATCCATCGCAATAAACGCTAAATGACTGGTTATATTATTACTATTACCGTCTTCGTGTATATTGTTATTACAGTGTAAGCACCGAATGTGTACAATAATCCGACATCGTTATACGACAGTGTTATTACTCATCGCTATTATTATTATAATAATAATATTGTTATTTAGTATTTTATGATTACGCGGCGGTCAAAAACGGTTTTTAACGCGGCGTTGCCGTACGCAAAGAATTTACTACGAACCCGGTAAGTGGTCGTGGCCGGAGTGAAACTTAGACACAGTCGAGATGAAGACGTCAACTAGGTGGTTTAACGATTTTGAACGATTGAAACGTAATGATTATAGAATAATCGAATGATCTAGTTGATTAATTGATAAAAAAAAAAAAAAAACAATTAAATTAAATTATTTTAAATTTGTAAATAGTTGTAACTCTTAACTCTTTAACTTTTTAATATAACTTTTTAATCGCACTTGTATAACAACGCAATATAACCTAGGATATAATCAGAGTTTGGCATTAGTCGAATAAAATATTATTCGATTGATTATTTGAATAAAAAATTATTCTTCATTGATTTATTCTTAATTTTATTATTGATTTTTATTTTTATTCATTATTTTAATTTATATTATTATTCGTTATTCATTATTCGGAGATTTTTATTTACTATATTTTATTCATTATTTAGTTATTCGTTATTTAATCATATAAATAATAAATTTAAATCCAAAATAACGATGTATAGTGATAATATACTTATTATTTAGACTTAAATAATATATATAAAGGTAATACATATTAATATATATATATTATATCATATAATTATAACGATATCGGGTCTCCCGAAAATCGTTACAACCCGAACATATTCTAAGTAATTTTCACTAAGTGGCACTTCAATAAAATTGTTTACCATCGTAGTTCATAGACGTGGTGTTCTTTTGCAGAAGAACATACAAGGAAAATTGATTCCTGTCACTACGGTTGTTATGAGGATGTGTTGGTTAGTGACACGATCACCCACCATTGGGTAGCATTCAATTATCATTGGGGATCAACAGTACTAACCAGGCACTGGTTGCAACCGATTATCACTGCAATTATATCGAAAATGTCTCGGACCCAGTATCAGCAGATAACCAACACTGAAACCACGTGCGCTACCGTGGACGAAAACATATAATTATTTTTTATCCGTAAATATTTATCATTTCTACAAAACGATACGAAAAACTACGGACTATTTTTTTCCAAATACATTTTTGATCAATCGAAATTATTCGGAGTTTTCGTTTCACACCTCATGAGTCAAGGGGGTGAGTCAATCCCCCCCAAAAAAATTGTGTTGTTAAAAATATTTGCAATTTTCTAAATATTATTTCAATTTTGAACATATGAAACTTGATTGGATAGCCTTAAGTGCTAAGTTCCACTACCTTATGCTTCAAAATTACCTTTATTGGAGTTGCTTTGCTAATGTTTATGGATAATAGGTGGGTGGACGAAATTAATATATGTTCGACCCATGTCAGTAAGAATGAGTGTGTGCCACTGGTTCGATGACGTGCATCGAAACCGTTTCCGTTCTCAACTTTTCGAGTTCACTAATCTTCCGAATGTGTTGTCAAAATTGCCTACACCAAACGCCTTGATATCGTTGTTATTTCGCAAGGTTGGGTAGACATTGGTCATATCATTTGGTCTCAATTTTTTACACAACATTAATCCTACATTACACGTCCAAAGTCGCGCGCAAACTCAATGATAACTTTTTAACGTTTTCAGTGAATGTGTTACAAAAAGTTTATTTTATTATTATTTATTTTCATACGGGTTTTTAACAGTTCGACGCGCGAAAAGAAAATTTAACGTTTTCGAATATTACCAACAGCCGCGTTTATTTATGTTCAAACCTATATATATATATTGATTTATTTATTATTTTCACGTACCATAAACCTATATAAAATGTAACAACTCTAAATCGTAAAAGTAAGTACAATAGTATATTTATCGCGCCGGACCGGGCGAAGATCACAACACCGTATACGCCCATATTTATATACACATGTATGTGTAAAGTGATAATAAAACACAACAAATATTTTACAGTCTACATTTTATAGTTATCGATATTTTCAATTGAATATAACACGTATATCATTTCTGTAAAAATTTCTATTACGTTCATCATTTCCCCGTTAAATCCTTTTTATTCGTAGTAAAATCGAAAAAACAGCAATTTAATCTATGAAAATAAAACCTTAATCACTTTTAGTAGAACTTTGAAATACTTTTATAGATTCTTAACCATTTTGTAATGCGTGAATGGCGTGTCATATATACATGTGATGGCGAGACCACGAAAATCGAGGTATGCGATTGTAAGTACTTCCTAACTGTTTCCACTTAAAATATATTTTTTATTCCTTCGAGTTTTTATTTTCCAATTACATTACACTACATCGTGTAATAATAATAATAATAATAATAATAATAATAATAATAATAATAATAGTAGTTATAATAATAATTATTATTATTATTTATTATATTAATATATTATTATTACATAATAATTATAATAGTTAAAATAAACTGTACAGTTCGAGCAAATTAAATTACAGTAATTAACATTAATCACAAATTGTAGTAACGAATTCAAACATTATAAATGAAATACGATTTGTCTTATTTGTCAATGCTTGATAAATGGGAACAGGTCTATGTCGGTATTATAGAAGAGTCAAAATCGGTTTTTTCATCAAAACATCGGCACGGACGATTTTCAAAGGAAGTGTTAGATAATTATGTTTTCGGAAACCTTTCTCAGTCTTTTTGAGCGTTTATTAGATAATAATAAGTAATTTTACGTTAAGTCAACCTTGCTTAGTCGATAATAGTAAGTCAAACATTAATTATTATAAATATATTTCCAGACACGCATCATAGCATTATGTTTTATTTTTTTTATTAATATGGAATATTGAACTATAAAAATTGTAAACAGACGAAAATGCATTTTCGTATCATTCAATATTGTCCTTTATTACCATATGCAAAAATGTGTTACTATACCAATGATAAATCGGAAAAAAACAAACATTTTAAATTTAGAAAAAAATATACTTACAAATATCGCATCGAAAACGTTAATTCCAACCAAATTCTTCTCTTGTTTTTTATTTGTACACCGATCGGTAAGTACAAACGTATGTAACTAAAATAAATAACTATTTTATATGCCATTTGCTATCGTTTTTTTTTTTTTTTTTTTTATGTATAGTGTGATGTTACATGTGATATACTTATAATATTTTTAACGCTTTGCAAAACATATATTGTATAACACTATTATGAATGTTCAGGGACATGTTTTTATTATTTATTTTACCAGAAAATTATATCAACTGTAGAGATATTCAGTGTATTATTAATAGAAATTATCGTCAACAATAATACACGCCGTATACAAATATTAAATCCATGAAGTTTGCAACACATTTTAAATGTATTGAAATATTAAGACGATTGAATTTTCAAACATAGTCGAAACAACTAGAATGAAAATATAATATACAAAAATGGGTGAATTAGAAAATTTCTAGCATTACATTAAATTATATTATTTTTTGAAATATATTGCACGGTTATTATAACTGTTCAAAAGTTTACACATTAAAAATACAACAAAATTAAGTAACAAAATAAAATTGATAAAATTACATCTAACTATAAATGAAATTAAATTATACTGACGCTCCCGGCTTCGCCATAGAAATAGAAAAAACTAATAAATTCGTTTTATGGGCTTCAATACGAAAAAAAAACGTTATCGTACTTTTTTAATTGTATCCATTAGTCCTAGTTGCTTAGAGTACCAAACAATTGATCTGAATTGTTTCCAGATCGAATTAATGCATAGAAAAATGTTATTGTTTAATGTAAGTTATTAGATTTTTTAAAATTCTGTTTCAATAAGCCTATATTTTGATATTGCTGAAATATTATTAATATTCGCATTAAAAGTGAAACCCAATGGAAATATTATGTTTAACTGGTCAATTAAATTTTGTTTGATAATTACTATTGTAATATTTCACTACACTATATTATATTAGTTATATTTTATATATTATTTTAACTGTTATACATCTCGTTATTACATTTACGAATTACAATCGATCTAATATATTCATCAATTTTTGGAATACTAATAATTAATGTGGTTTTGCAAAAAAACATAGTGGATTAGTAAAAATCGAGGGGCAGGATCTATATTCTCAAAAGACCGTAAATATAAACATGCTTACTAAACTGCACTGTTATTTACAATAATGTAAAGATATCAACCGCATAGCAAATTACATAAATTATGTAACATATCTATTTATATTGCAAAAATTATAATATTCACATAGTCAATATACATTATATTAAACACCATAAACCAATAGGACCACGACATTCTAAAATTTAATGTCGTCCGAGAACAATCCAAAAAATGATAAAGATTCGACGACGAACTTAATGAGGTTGTTCAAGGTGCAACCTGATCATCAACTGGTCACTAGACAAGATCTGACGAGGGACTATAACAGTGGGACTTCTGCGAGATCGTTGAACTCAGATGACGAAGACGAAAATGACGACAATGACGACGACAACAACAACTTTATTTCCATTAACAATTATTACACTTGGAACTCGTCCATAACGAACGCTTCTATTCACAAGTACGTGGGCGTAAATTTACCATCATAATATATTCGTAGGTATATTAATGATAATCAAAGTCATTAGAAAGGGTTCAGGGATATATAGGTAACTGTCTGTATTCAATTTTGAGGGCGTTCGAGCGAGAGCCAAAATATTTAGTTCAAACAACAATATTTTACAATTGAGTAGGTATAATTTGTGAAAAGATAAATGATTTGTATTATTATAACAATTTAATATGTGTGTGAATTAAAAGTAATTATTTTTCGATATCATCAATTTATAATTGGAAAACCATTAATGAATTCGTCTCGAGCTACTATGAACCCGTTATCCAAGTTTTAATTCTATTGAAAAGTTGTGCAGACAAACATAAAAAAAGTTTTGGGAATATGTTGAGCAACATTAGAACTGTCTAGCTGTATGTCTGTAATGGGAAGGCATTTGTTTTCATTGTGGTATAATGATATTAATCTTCTTATTGTTTGTACAAATAAAATATTAGATAAGATGGATTCGGAATGTCTTGTCACGTTAAATACATTTCAAATGTATAGAACTATAAAATAGTTCCAGATAATTATTTATTTACAAGTTATTTCGAGAATAATGAAAGAAAAAGATAAAGTCAAATGTAATTTAGTTTACTGGTACATAATACTATAATAGCTAAAACTAGTTAGAAATCTGATAGTTTAGATAAACTTTTCAACATTCCCCATTTAGACATAGTGACAGTATATTTATTGGTATAAGCAACTGGCGGCCCACGTACTTTTATCTGGCCCGTACTACATTTTCAAATTACTTCATAACATTTCAGCATTTATCGGTATCTAATTTTATCATGTCGATCGTAAAATTTAAATATTATATTTTTCTCTAGTATTAAACTGCAGCTAATTTATTAAATGTCCAAGTATAATATATATTGGCACAGCTAACATAGCTATAGGTATTGGGTAAGTATTGTAATGGTTTATTCGTTAAATAATTTTTTTTTTCAAGCTTTTCCAAGCCTTTTAGGCTCTTTTGTTTTAAAACCAATTCATCCCATACATTTCTCGTGAATAAGCTAAATCCAAGAATCCAAGTTAAATTAAATTATATACAATTAATGTTAATTGTTAATTTTAATGGCTTTTTTACTCTGGCCCGCCAGATTTTAAAGTTCTAAATATTAATCCTCTAATTACTATGAGTTGTCCATTCCTGGTATATACCATGTTAGGTACATACTAGCCAATAATCTCTAATAGTTATAAATCTATTAATTACGATTGAACCCTCGACTTATTTAATTATTTTTAAACCATCGTTATTATATTCTATACTATTTGTTTTTTCTGTATCCTTGGTATATACCAACGTATACCCCTATAGTCAGTGTAGTACGTTCAATTTTTTTTTTTTTTTTACCAATAGGATTAAATTGTAAACATAGTTTAAATGTTAATATCAAACGTCTATTTTCATGCCTTCTCAGACAAAAAATTATGTTTTTTTGATGCCATCATAATTGAAAAAATACTACATTAATACACACGTTAAAATATTCATAAATATTGCATATTTTTCATTCTAATCATTTTAAAACCAGATTTTTTTTAGTCCTTGAGGGGTTTTATAACTCCACCCCCTATTTATACACCTCTGTCTATAGCTATATGTACAGACTTATAACTCTCACATTAATAATCTTCATCACTGCCTGGAAATCCCTGTCAGACTAGATGATGTCAAAATTTAATAATTCCAGGAATAAAAATGGATAACTGTATTTTCTTTTCTTTGCTTGACATATATCTGTAAACAAGAGAAAATAATCCGGTATTAATGGTAGACCGATCACCAGTCCTCTTCGCCAATACTGACTCCAGGCTGACTTCATTAGTTCAATATTATAACTATTTTATGTTTTTAAATGTTCATTATTATTATTGTTTGTCTTGCTGTTTTGTAATTGAATTTTATTTTACCGAAAGTTCTGATAGAAAAAATAAAAAAACATAATATTAATAACGCATCATACATCGCCACAGGGAAAGAGCGGCAATCATGTCGGCGTTGCACTCGGCCGAGTCGGTGCCGATTCCGTCTTTGTCGGCGCCGTCATCGTCCTCGCGGCCGCTGGCGTCCAAGAGCTTCACAAAATCGCACCGGGTCCAGGACATCGTGGCCATGTGCTCGGACGAGCGGAGTGCGTTTTCGACGGAAGATTATCACAACGAGTCCGGGCACTCGGACGACTGGCCACAGGCCACGGGCGCGGGCGGTTCGAATCTGTGGACGAGCGCTTCGCACCATAGCTCGTCGGCCACGTCCACCGCGTACAGTAGCAGCGACGGTGACGACGAAGCCGGCAGACGAGACGTGACCAACCACAACGCGGCGCAAGCGACGAACCATCGTCAGACGCCTAGGCCTGCGTCCGCGGCACCTCCGCGACCGCTTTCCATATGGCATTGGACGTTCGGTCTGTTCAGAAAGAAATGACCAGAAGGTGGCGATCCGCCGGAGGCACTTACCGGCACAGCAATGTGAACAATAATAAAACTAATGCGAAAATCGTATGTTCAGCTGCTTTGTGTGCGACAAACGAAAATAATCGCCGGAGTCACCGGACTTTTAATTGGGTCAACCGTTATGAGACTAAGCTTTAACCGGACACGCCGAAAGTTCCCTCAGAATGGTTACCTTATGCGTGTTCATGCCCTAAATTATCCAAAGTTAAAATGACGTTGATGATCGAGGCACAAGTCCGAAAAACCCGCTCAGGTTGATCTCCCGCACGGGCCATAACGAGTTACAAGCCCATGCTCTTTGTTGTGCTCTGTTTTTTTTTTTAAATTTTACCAACAAAATCATCAACTTTTAGACATTATGTTATACATTCCCGGTGACTTAACGCCTCAAAAATACGCTGACTATTTTTAGTTAATAAGTACATACACTATTACCTATATTAGCGATGAGTTCAAATTTTCTATTCCATACCGTAAGAACGTAAGAAGAATAACATAATATATAGAACGGTTGAAATATTAAATTTAAATGGTTCTGGTGGTTGCAAGGGATCGAGTTGTTTTGTCTATATTACAGCAACCGTCGAGTGTTTCGTCTTTGCACTTGAGAGCGCTACAAAATTAACATTTTTGATTCATAGTACCTATGTTATTTTTATAATAAATTGTGGGATTTATATGGTGGACCAGATAATTTCTTAATTTTCCATTTGTGCATACGATTTTCAGTCTGAATCCCTACGTTATTGCGCTCTTGAAGGTTTTGTGATTCTCTATTTCTTCATTTCTCTTTTAATTTTTTTTATTGCTTCGTGATTGCCTAGGGAGTTGGTTGTTTTGTACTTTTTTTATTGCTTCTTAACTTAGTTGCTTCAATTTCTATTTGTATATCTAGCACAGGGACGCTTCTAATTTTTATCCGAAATTAAATTTTCTATGACGCTAACATTATTAGAATTAGACAAATCGTCCTCGAAGTATTATAGTATTTCATTTTTTTGTAACGTAAAGAATATTAAAAATAACCATTGAAATGACCACTATTAATACTTCCATTTAAACGCTATATTTTAACCGGGAATGTATCTATACCAAATTTAGCACAAAGATTATTAATATAATAATTTTCAAAAAAAAAAAATGGGAAAATATTGCCAGCGGCAATCAATTCGCAATAACCACCGTGGACTGTAGGATTGACCATTTCACGAACATAATCCTCAGCAGCGGAAAAGTTGCCATCGTTTAAATTGTAGGATAGTAATAAAGTTATTCCAAATATCAGAGACTTACGAAATAATTGTATTTCGGATCTCTTGGCAGCTTTCTTGAGTATTAAACAAAAGAAATGAAATTTAACGGAAAGACAGGCACCATCACCGATAGTTGGTATAACTATTGGATATGTCAACATTCCATTGAAAAAAATGCCTTCAATATATGACATTTTTTTTAAAAAATATACGTATGATGTACAGCCAGAAGCTCGCGGCATATAAGCGCTTAACCTTTCAGTTGGACCCTCGTATGTTATATGACCAGGCGCGTGCCGTACTTTATACAACAGGTTGAATTAAGTGTTGGTTATAAATAAAAAATTATTATGAAATTAACAGGCGCAATACGTATTCAGTGGGATCGGACGGAATTGCCTAAAATACATTAAAAAAGTAATTTACAAATAAGATAATATTAATAACAATAATAATAAATAAATATATTTCTCAGGGACACAAGCACCAAACCTTATCAGCCGACTATTATTATTATTTAATAGCTTATTATATAATACATTAAAAATGTATATACACAAAATATAAAATATATATATATATACAAAATTTACACGTAAAAATTTATTTTTACCGATTTCAATCCCTTATAATCTTTTCTTAGTGCATGGTGAAATTATAACATTAATTTATCCTTAACAATACAAGTCGATAACTCTAATAGGTTCGGCTCTACGTTGATTTTGAATCAGAGGGACACTTTTGTATAAGTATATAGATAGATATACATAACAACTACTAAATAACAGTTGTTTTAACATTTTATTTTTATGTGATTAATTTGACAAATGAAGAAGCTTATATTCGTTTATTAATATTTGAATACGTTTTTTTTATTTCCACTATTCTCACAAAATGTTCTTATTCCAAGAATCTCGATATTTTTCACACTTCATATGGAGTATTATATATTTATACTGAATTATGTGTACATCGTAGGAAAAATAATACGTAGACACATTGATTACAACACTTATCAAGTGTGGACCACTCAGTGTTGTAGGAATCGAGAGAAAAAATTTAGTCTTTAGCTACACACTTTATCACGGCTTTTCCTGGTCGGAAATCAAAATAATTTCATACTTAAACATGTGTCATATGTGTATTTTAGGGAGAAGAAGAAGGTTCACATTCTATCGAAATTATTTATACCAGTATTATCGCTTGATAAATGTAAGTATAAGAAAAAATGATCAAACTTAATTTAAAATAACTTATGATAATACACGGATATACGATCACTAAGCCATTTCAAGTACTTTGAGATTTAATAGGTGACATCTAACATTCAATAGTTTATATTATAAATTGTAATTATTCATTGCAAAGTATCATTTTGAAAATTGTATATATATATTTAATGTATTTTTTTTTATTAATGCATTGTACGTATACAGAAATAAAATTAAAAATTTCCCACATATTTTGATGTTTTTAGCACATATTTTCTAAATTATACTTACATATTTATGTACATATTTTTGAATTTTTATTACATATAAAGCCGTTCTCTAGTTATAACTATATGAAAAAATAAAAATTCAAATGACTTCTTTTTTTTTTTATAATAACTACATTATGCATTGCCAAAACTCTGTGCATATAAAATACAACGCTGTAGGAAGCCAAAACAAATTTCTGTTCTTATCATTGTAGAATAAGAATATAAATAATGATATTTACACAGTACTTAAAAAAGAAAAATTTACATTTGTATGTTATAATAATATTCGAAGTTGCTGTAGAATAAAATTAATTGGTTTTTATTTATAATGAAATATATATATATATATATATATATATATGTGTGTATATATATTTAGTTTATAATTAACTGTTACCATTGTATTTAATTTAGAGCATTGACAAAATCACCATGCTGGATTTTATTTGTATTTATAAAAACACTCAGTGAAATACCTACCAACCACAAATATTAAATATATTAAACTCGTTATTTATTATTATTGTCATTAATTTTATTAAAAAATAAAATAAAATTATTAACGTATAAACTCTTAGTATGTATAGATAGAATAATTATTGTTTTTTTATTTTTAATTAATACATGGTAATATAGAATCAATAGATTATTAATTAAATACTTATGAACATAATGGTACCTACAAATAAAGTACCAACAACCAACAGGCATATTATCTAAGTAATTATCTATACTTGTGTAACAATAATAAATTGATGAAATAACAATTGATGATATTAAACCGATGTTTTACTGATCACCAAAGAGCAAATGATAACTATAATTATATTAAGTCAAATGTATTTTTCTCAAATTTCAATAACAAATAATCCTCAGTTTCGCAATTATAGAACTCATCACTAATCAACACGAAGTTCTTCCAAATATAGTATTTATATTTATATTACTAATCTGGTACTTATTTAGCTTTGATTTCAGATAAGTTGAAATCAAATCATATTATGCTCTCAATTGTGTGGCGCTATATCGTAGCATAGGTATGAAGATAAATTGTTTTTTACTTATCATAAGAGTCTTCACATTGAGTCCAATTAAACAAAATATAATGCCTTGTTATTTTTATAAATGATATGATATAAACTTTGACGCATACCTCTTTTTGGTATATTATCATATTACTTTTATTTAAAGAAAAAATTTAAAATGAAAAATAACAGCTATTAAACAATAATATCATGATGTTCATAATAATAATTTGAGTAACTGTTTAACAAAACGAAAATTAGATCTATGTTATCGTACCTGTTACGATCCAAGAGTAATACGATACATGAATAAATTAAGTAAATTGTTTATCAGATTTAATATATAAGACATAATAATACACGATAATGGATTTACATAAATATTTACATTGGAAATGTTTTTTGTGCACTTGTATTGTAAACAACATTTATATACGTTCATTGCATATTAATACATTTATAATTAAACAAAAAAAATTATTCAATTTGATTTATGAAATAAACCGTTTCGTGATTATGGTCATTGGTTATTATTACATTTTATGAAAGATTTTTTTTCACGAATAAAAATTTGTTTTATCACTCAAATTTTATGATTCTTAAACAACTATCCACAATTTTTTCAGCTCATTTCTATTATACTGTGATTGTTGTATTTGATCGTAATATTTTTTAAAATTTTATATTGTTTGAATAACTTTATTGAATACCAATAAGCAACATTTCTGAAGAAAAATGGGCTTTTAATATTCTTATAGTACCTATTACCTAATGATAAATTGTATTAAAATATTATTTTCTTAAATGTATAAATAAACCTATAGAATGCATAAATTACGTTGGAAAAACTACCCAGTATAACAATTATTACATTAAAAAAAACTATATTTAATTACATGATGCACAAAATATACATGTATACAAACTTCCTTATTAATGATTATTAGCATTCTAGAAATAGAAGTAGTATAAAAACTTATCGTACTATGATAAAAGAAGTTTTTGTTATTTTTAATTTGGCATAATATTCTCCCATTTTAAAAAACGTTTTTACGAAAGTCGAAATTCCTATAGATCTTGACGAACATATATAGACGAGTTTCTCTCCAGCAAGTCGATATCTTTCTCCAAGTTGTTCAGTTGCTTTTCCAACATTGTTTTTCTTTTCATTTTCGGCATCGTATCGGTGAGCATTGGTAATAATAAAAATTCTTTGTGCAATTCCGCCCAATTGGTCTTCAGACCCTGTGCAATACACGAAAAATAGTTATTCTTGTGAAAATAAAAATGTATGAATAACGACCAATCTCACTTTCAACAACTCATTACGTTCGTCTTCGGGCAAATATCGTAATGGCGGCTTGACTGCTCTTTTTCGTTCGGTCTCCATTAGTTTTGCCATTTCCTTTTCCTTATACATTTTCAATATGTACGAAGGTGTCTGGCCATAATTCTATAAATAATATGAGAATATCAGCGTTGGAAAAATAGTGTTTTCAGTGAAACATATTTAAAATATTATATCAGGTAAGTAATATATTACGTTGTAATATACTTACGGTTATGGGAATATTGAAATAGGATCAATTCATGACTACTTTATATAGTCGGGACACTATATATATAAGTGCCTTAATAATTCGCCCACTCACAAGCATGATATATGAAATAAATGATTTGTCGTACAAAAGTAAATTAATCACTTCATTTTAACATCGTTATGTTTTTATTACGTTTTGTTTATGTGTCACTTCGTGTAGTTTAGAAGCAGAAATTTCGAAACATTTACGACCACGGAACCTTTAGGAAATAGTCTGTTTCGTGGAACCCCAATGTCTCTAACACCAACTTAATTCTAATATTTTTAAATTATTTATTTAAAAACCAATATTGCAAAAAATATTTTTAAGTAAGTTAACTATTGTTTATTACAATTACTAATCTCAATATTCGCAGAAATCTTGTAGAATCCTTAGATTCCGCGGCACGCACATTGGGAATCGTTAATCTAAGATATTGTCAGGTCAAAAAATTGAACTTTCAACAATTATTCTTAAAGTGTCTAGGTTCATAATATAGGATCATAAGCTACTTGAAATCACTTTAAATATTTTGGTATTTACACCATCATTTCCGTTAATACCATACCTTCTTGGACACATACATTGGCTCTAGTCCGGCTTCGTTCAGAACGATCACGTGTCCGTTTCTCGTGTCTTGGACTCTGTGTTTTGGCTGTGATGGCACTCTTTTAATCACGTCAATAATATTCTTCTTGCGAATATTTTTCTGGATTTGGTTTTCGTGAGTTTTCGTCTGTGGTTTTTTTTTTGCATAAGATGCATCAGACGCGGGTAGTTCGTTTGATTTATTTGTGCACTTGCAGTTCTTAAGAGTTTCTAAAATTCATGTGTAAAAAAAAACCGACAAAACGAGAAACACATATTATATTACTATGGTTTATATGTATTATCGAATCTGTATGAAGTGTTGGAAAAATTGTTAAGTTAGACTAAACATAGATTATACTATGAACAGAAATAAATTTAGAATTTCGTTAGGTATTATCGTATAAATTATTAATTTGCACTTTACATTATAATATTGAAAAAAAGGGCAATACTCCTATTGATACAGGGATGAGTGAATAGTACTAATATATTGGTCTTTTAAACATGAAACCAATGTACTGTTGCTCTTGGGAAAACGATTCTAAATGAAAAAGGTTGTGTGGATCAGTTTACGAGTATATCTAAAGTTAGTTGATGTATATAATAGATTCTACTAAGTAGAAGAACCAAATTCCTAATAAGTTAGATTGAACAATTACCGTTTTCAATTTTGTAAAAGAAAAAACCAACAAACATTTTGGACAGTTTAAAATTTAAAATTACTATATGGTAAACAGCACAAATTGAATTAAAATAATTTGAAGCTATAAAATATCTTTAACTAAATAACTAATATAATTTAGAAAATAGGTGAATTTCCAATTCATTTAATTGTACAAAAATAAATGTAATAAAAGTAAAGTTTACATTTAACAATTTCAAAACACACATCATGGTAAAACTAATATAATATATGTATATATATTGTTTCACTCAGAATCTAAAAGAAATAATAATTATGACATTTTTAAATTCATATTTCTGAAATCGAATGAGACCGAATATTATACTATATTTAACAATACAATTATTATAATATTTATTACACTTTATTCCTAAATATAATTAAAAGTGTATTGCTGTAATGTTTACGACAAAGGCAAATTAAATAAATAAATTTAAAAAAACTAGAAGTATATAGTATACATTATATATTGTTTACTATGTAATTAAAAGTTATTTATCAAAAAAGTATTTTTTTTACCTTCTAAGTGAATATAATATATAAGCTATATAAAATATTATCAACCTAACCAAACTTAAATTTATAATAAATTGCTTTCCCCTGAGCTATCCTTCCTAAATACGTAGTTGACTAACAATATGAACCTTACCGACACACGGTCTCAGCACTTTTCTGGTGTGTTTTTTTAAAAATTGTGTTGGTGGATCGAGCTGGATCTCCGCATAACCCATTGTCCGATGACAGCCTTTATTGGATTTATACGCATTTTTCACAGATTCCGTATAAACCGAACGGTACATCGGTGGTTTAATCACAGGCGTTTCCGGTTTTGGGATCAAGTATTTGATATTTTCCTGGCACCTATTCATCTTTTGATAATAATGTTTGGCGGGTGCTACTATTAATATTGCCGTTTTATTAAACACTGATGCATCGGAAATAAGTTAGATTCATATAAAGTGCATATACTTGAAACATAGCATCACATATCTAACTTTGTTGGATCAATGACAACGAACGTGATGGTGTAGGTCAGTGGTGGCCAAACTACAGCCCGTTATGATTTAATATCTGGCCCGCGAAAGTATTCTACATCACAACACTTATTTGCGTAACTATAATTTTTTACATTTACGTAAAAAAATTGAAAAATTAAAAAATACATTTCTTTATGGCCAGCGGTAAAAAATTGTTTCTTATGGCCCTAGGTAAAAAAAAGTTTGGCTACCACTTGTGTAGGTTAGCAACCCCCTGGTCGAAACTTACCAATACGTCGTATAAACATCGAGAAATAACATGGAATTATTAAAAACGTACCAACAATTCGTTACAAATTGGCTTAGTTTCTGGGTGAAGCGAGTAACGCGTTACGTTAATAATAAATCGTTTTAATATATTATTTTCTTTTTATTCAACGAGTTAGTGAACAATGTTATATTATACAACAGTACATTAGGTACCTTGCACGAGCACAATTGCAATAGTTGTACATTTAATACACAAACAGTAAAATTTAAGAGTTCTTAGAGTTTAAATAATCGATATTGTGCGAACGTGTGTGATATGAATTCATGGTATATTAGAATAATTCTATCAATGATTGTATTATATTATTTAATAGCTCCAATATGAATGCGATCTTTTTTTTTAAAATGAAAACACTCACGCACACACACACACACATACAAACCACACCGATTTATGTTCCGAATCGTATTTATTGTTGACGATTACAAGTAGCCCACCTGACTCTCCACAACCCACCAGAAACCTGTATCCAGCAGGTTTTTTTTATTTCATCATATATTAATGTTCATTTTAGAATTTGTGGGACAGGAAGTGTTATTATTACAAAGCATAAAATATCTTCGATAAAATATTATGGAATATTTAAACTTAATATACGTTTTACTTGATCCCAAGAATCGTGCTATAAAGTGTAGTATATTAATGCAATGAATAATATTCGCATGTACAAAACAATGCACATATTATATTTTATGATGCATCACATTCAAATGCAAGTACCTATGTACGATAAAGTATTTATTTACGAACCCAAATGTTACGTTTTAAGTTATTGCAAGAGAATATAGAATGTAATATTATATAGTGATACGTAAGTATAAAAGTAGTAATACTAATAATAATACACACGTGAAAGTGAAACTTTATTGAATTCATCGTTTTCAGTGCGTGTATAATTACGTGTCATACTGATATATTTTAAACTGACAAACATATAACATTACACATATGATAATCTGGACATATTAGCAGGTAGTTTAGACTTGTTTTACAACCTCTGAGTATTTTTTTTCGTTTCGTACTTACGAAGTACCAAACGCATTTAATCAAATGCCACCATGGCGACCTCAAGCGTGTAGTTGGTTTAGCAATATAAATATTTTATTTTATTTAATTCATAATACATAATAACACGATCTAAACCAATTTATAATATGTACATAATTATTAGTGTTTTTTTTACACACGTCAAATAAAAATATTTGGTTACGTCAACAGTATTAATAATTGTAATTATATTGTTTTCCTTTTTATTCCGCTTACGTGATAGAACAATATCTATATTATAATAATGTATTTATATACCTACAAATAATTTTCGCTGACTTTTGATACTAATTTGCTCAGTTAGTTTAATACAGTAAGTTTAATACTTATTAAACTGATTTTTTCCTTTTATTTTTACCCTGGTGATTGTTTAAAATATTTTATTATTATGTAAATTTATATAGTATAAATAAATAAAAATACATTTCATTAGACTACATGATTTTTAATTTATTTTTTTTTCGTCGAAATAGTAATCACTTTTTCTCAAACTAGGTCGGGTATTAAATATAGCGTTATTATTATTATTTAAACTCCTATTTTTCAATATTTTTTTTAATTTTTCTACATACAAATATTTGCTTACATTCATATAGGTACATTTGTCACCAATTTAGGTATTGATAAATGGGCGCCCTTGTACATACATTCTAAAACAGAAAAAAAAAATTCGAGTTATCAAGAACTTCAAGCTATCAAATTATTTGAGCTCGTATTAAATTTCAAGGGAATTTTTTTTTTACTTTGACATTTCAAAATAATTTGATTTATTGATTCAAGGTAATATTATAATATTAGGTCTCATAATTAGCCTATATCAGTGGTTCCCACTATTTTTCTTCCGTATCTCTAAGCTTAATATTTATTTAAATTGTACCCCTCATTAAAATTTTTAAACTTTTTTCGCATAACTACTCTAAAAATATTAAATTAAATATAACAATAATATAATATAATGAAATAATACATTTTTTTTATATTTTGTAATAAGACGCACAAAAAAATAAATAAATAATTTGACTTGAATATAAAAATGTTAATATAAATTTATAATGAGATCCTTAATCTTATTTCAAATTATATAGGTTTTTAAATGAGGTTGAAATGATGCATGAAATAAACTTAAATCTGGAGTTGCGTTCAGCTTATTTTTTTACTTATTGTATTCTATAATCTATCGGGTGCGTACACAAAGAAAGGTTTCAAAAGTACAAACCCTTCACGTGAAAATCAGGATTAATATTAAGTATGTTTTTATAGAGTAAAAGTGGTTAATATATTATATAAGTATGATAATCTACAGAGTGGAATACCATTTCTATAAGAAAAATTGATGCAAGATTTTAATTTTTAATAACGTATATTGCATATTTACGACGCAAATCCTTTTAAATCAAATAAATTTAATATTTTCCACGGTTTGGAACCGCTGGCCCATATTTATCACATGACGTAATATTGTGATATGTGTAGACAGAACCTAAAATACGTTTGTAAGATTAGGTTGTTACTAGGTTTTATATAGTATGAATTTAATTCATATTCAAGTATACATAAAAACATAGGTATTTCACTGCAAATGTATGAATATTATTCTTTATATTATATACGGGAAAAATGCGTAATAGTAACAGGTATTCGAGTAACGTTATTTGAAAAACGACAAACCCGTATTGAAGCTAACGTGGCACACCACGAAGGACCTAAAAAACCGTGATTCAATACGCCTTATAACAACACCTGTACCTAATATAAATGATTTCCTTGCGGCACGTCGATCCTTCCTAATTTTGTTTTTCTGTGGGCAAGTGTTATTTATGGACATTTTGGACGGGTTGCCGACAATGAAGCAATCAAGCGATTTATAATCATATGCATGAAGATATAGTTAACCAATTATATATTCATTAGATGTTGATTGTTTTTCCTATAAACAACTATTTGTCTAAAAATACATTAATATTAAGTTTTTTTTTTTTTTTTTAATATTTTTAATAACAAAGTAATTTCTCAACTCTTGTACGCGTTGTAAAAACAGTATTAATTTTCAAAATGTAATCCCAATTTAAATTTTAAATCATCTGATATCTGATCACTTGGTAAAATAGCTCAAGGTTGACATTAACAGCGCATTGTATATAGAAGTTAAAAACTACAAAAAAAAATGTATTGAAAATACAGGAATGTTGGTAGGACAAACTCTAATTCAATAAATTCAAATACATTTCACAATTTTTGCTTGAATTTAAGAAACATATTTAATAGTTAATTAATATAATTAATATAAGTAACTAATTCATTATTAAATTATTTTTCCTTAATTTTTGAATGACTAACGATTAACTAACGACTAATGACTAAGCGGCTAACGATGTCAGTCGCATGTGCAAGTTGTACTCTTGTGTTATTTCTATTCGTTATTAAATTGAGTGAATGTGATTATTATCGTTTAATACATTTATACTATGGATAAAAAATAAATTGATGATATCAGAGAGATATCGTAAGAGTTAAGACCTAATTAAAGTAAACTATTGTCTTCTTAGGATAATACCAATATTGAAATAAATAAATAAAATAATTGATGACATACTTAAAAGAACAGCCACTTTAACAGAAGATAATAAAATTCTTAAAAAAAAAAGTTAGTTCTCTTGAAAACAAAATTGAGCTTTTAGAGAACAAAAATAATTTTCTGCATAAATCTTCTGAGTTAGATTAAATTATGGATGGACAAGTTCGTGTAAATAATAATATTACTTTCAACTTACAAGAAACAAATATTTCTGATCAAATAACTAATTCTGATCAAGACAACATTTTAAAATTATTTATAAAGATGGGCACTAATCTCTCTAAATACACTTCTTAGAATTTCTAAAATAAAGATTTTAGATAATTTTCGTCCGATAAAAGTTAGTTTATCAAACACTATTGGTGTATATTCCGTACTTCACTCACCATCTAAATAACGTACCTACCTCCACAACATGGGTCAATATTTGTATTTCATCTAATTGTACAGTTATTCAACTTGAACACATAAAACAACTAAAGGAAGAATTATAGCGCCGAAAAACGATTCAAATCTTATTATTAAGTACATAAAAGGTAAACCAACTTTTGATAATTACTCAAGCAATTATTAAATCACTATGAAATAAACCTTTTCATTTATTATCAAAATATTCATAGCTTAAATAATAAAATAAATCATTTTAATAATTAATTTGTAATTAATTAAATTAAATTAATTTAGTTTTTCAATTAATTTTTCAACTCAAATTCTTAATTATCTGTATGATATATTTATATTTATTGAAACGTGTCTAATATTTAACATTGAATAAATTTTCTTTTAATTTCCAAACTTAAATCATACAGAATTAGTGATCCGCTTTTATCATATCTAAGTGTTTTTTTAACAAATCGGACTCAAATTATAAAATATAAAAACTACATAGGTATCTGATTTTATAAATTAAATTAACATCTGGTATGTCTTAAAGAGAATCATTTGTCATCACTATTATTTTCTCTTTTCATTAATGTCAAACTAATAACGTAAAAAATTTCAACGGTTTGTCATTTGTAGATTAGATGATACTAAATATATAAAGAAATTAAATGTTTAAATGATACTAAACAACTCCCAGAAAATTTAAAAAATTTTTTTACATGATGTTATGATAGCGAATTGATACCGAATACGTGTGCTACTGTTTCATTTTCTTTAAAAAAAAACGCATTACATGTTTACTTCTGCATTAATAATTTATGTTTGTAACGAAAAAAATAATATTAATGAGTTAGGAGTTAGTTCTGATTCTGAACTTTCTTTTAAATGTCGTGTTGATTATTTAAAAAATAAATCATTTATGAAACTAGTTTTGATAAAATTTATTTGCATATATTTTAATAATACACCAGCCTTAAGAGTTTTCGATTCTGAGCGGAGCGAGGTTAGTTAATTAATAAATTAATATTTAACTGCTTCTTATACATAGAAAATGTTTTCTCTAGCTACTAAACTTATGCCAGTTGGTAAGTCTATGTAAGATTGATTTATTTCAAACATCAATCACTAAATTAACAGCTTCTTTCTATTTATTGTAAATCAAGAATTATAATTTTAATTTTAATCTGAAATGTTTGTATTAGTAATTTATTTTTAACTATATATATAAATTAAATTCTTAAATTATTAAACCTGAACCATATTAAAAAAATAAAAAAAATGTCACATTATAAATAATTGTAATTGGAATATTTTTTGATAATAAGGATTATTATTTTTATTATTAAAAATAAAAACCAAGTATCCAAAGTACTAAGTGTACCTACATCTAATATTTTAATTTTTTAAATAGTTCCATAACTCACAATACAAATGCACCACAACCCGTAAGTGTTTACAGAGACAAACCTATTTGTCTCTTCACAAAGATTTTTATAACTGAAATATTAAAATTTATTGAATAAGAACGACCTCCTACCTTTTATTTATAAAAAAAAATGTGACTATTATTTTTATAAATTCTACATATTCGATTTTTTAAGTATGTACCGTGATGCATTTTCTACATTACGATATCGTCATATTTAATGTGTGCATGAGTAAGAGTTATAAAAATCAAGAAACTACATACCTAAATGATTATAAATATAATTATTTTTATATAAACTGTCATTATGGTAAAAACGCGTTTTAAGATTTCTAAGAAATAGTTTCATTTCAGCACTTTTTTCCCCTCACATAAATATAATCAAATTATAAATATAATATATGGGTGTGAATATTTTAATTCAATATTTGAATAAATAATCCATGATAATATCCGATTCTATGGTATTTTTGTGTTATGCAGCTATTTGCCATTGAAAACGGATTAAAATTTAGTATAACATTCAAATTTTATGAATTATGAATTGATTTGTGTAACAAAACTAATTTATTCTGCAGCCCAAATTTGCATTAATCATAATTTAATGTGTAGTTTATTTTCTATATAGATCCCACGTCTAGAAATTAATGAAATAAATAAAAATATTCGGTTTACTGTTTTTAATATCTTATTAATTCTACTTGTGATTATTGT